GGCGTATGGAGTAATTGCTATTATATTTTATGGTAGTTACAAAATTATATTTTTGTTTGCTTATGGAAATGTTTGCGTGTGCTAAGCCGAGCATCTCTCTTTCATGCTCCGCTCCCAATCAAGAGCATTCAAAAGCTGAACCTTATTTATTGGTTTATCGGATAATAAGCAAAATGGTTTTAATACGCTCAAGTACAAAGAAATTTATTTTAGTTAAACGCGTCGCTAACATACACACACACAATACGTACACATGGTCGGCTTTATTATTCAAAAAATTCCAAAACGTTTTCGTTCCTTCACACTGGATCCATTTGAATTAGGTACATGGAATGCTACACATCCGAGAGATACGGGAAGAGAGATTCGAAGTGCTCTATTCAGAGTTGTCGAGCAAAAATAACAAATAAACCATTTTCACAATGGAACCATATCATAGCCAAAGCAGATGAACAGCATTCACATTGCATGATAATCAACTTGAAAACAGTTAATCCTTGAGAGTGACACGTAATCGACGAAACAAATTCCAAACAAAATTTCAAGAATAGCAGCGCACACAAACACAAAAGGCACACACACATACACAAATAAGTGCGACACCATTAAATTTCGTTAAATTTCATTGCTCAGGATGGCTAATAAATAAATTTGTTTGCCGTAAGATGAGAATATACGTATACATGGTTGTTGGTTTGAGATTTAGTAGTTGAAACACGTGAAATGGTGCTGTGCAGCACAACAAATTGAGATAGAACGATTGAACAGAAAAAATAGAGTGATACACATAGAAGGGGAGAATGGTGGATAAAATCAAGTGAAACACACTTTCATTTCGCATCAAACGCAGTCATTGTCCATATTTATCATAATCACAACAATACAAATGGCAACGAATGGATTAAATTAATATAAATGTTTTTCTTCTTCGTTCTAGCACTGGCTCTTCCCCACTCTTCATTCCATCTCACTCTTTCGCTCTCCATTTTGCTCGCTCGCTCTCGTTCCATTTGGCAAAGTGCAAGTCTTGTCATTTTCTTTTCAGTCATATCGCAATCGCACAGTCATGTCTGTCATTGTTAGTTTGTATGAATTGGCCTGCTGTGGCCAAATTAAATGTACACATGAAAATATGGAACAATAATGCACATCAATGTCGGAACAAAGCGCAATGGGTTTTCTTGATTTTGTCTGCCACAAAATGTGACAAAATACAAAATAGCAACCATAAAAATCGAGATGACAGAACAACGGAATGACACATTTGTGAACAATAGACTAACGACTAGTGTGTTCTTCTACCTGTACCGTTGTTCGGTTACCAGTGCTGTTGTCGTTCCCATTGTGGCTGCCGGTGTGACGGTGCGAATTTGCATTCAACGATTGCACGGTGCACGTGGCACTCGTGCGAACGACAAAAGCACACTTACACAAAGCGACAGACATAGAACAGAAAAAAGAATGATATGTCCTTTGGATACAAATACCTCTCGTTAAGCGCATACAATTTTTAAATTGTCATCATTTTGAACATCGAACCATCCATTCCATATGCTGCCATTTATAATTTTGCAAATTTGAAACGTGAATAGGAAGAAGACAGCAAAAAGCATTCTTGAATACGGTATGCATAAATTTTTCGAAATCGTTTCAAATTTTAGGTATTTTTCGGGTTGTGCGAACGAGTAGATAAAGTTTTTGCAGCGACCAATAAAATTGGATTGCAAATAAGCGCTATGCAGTAGTTAGCAAAGTGCTAAATAAGATGAGAGAGAGAGAGAGAGAGAGAGAGAGAGAGAGAAAGCGAGAACAAAAAAGAGAACTAGTGTGGCTGCAGAAGCGACAGCAGAAGCAGCAACAGCAACAGCTTTAGCCTACCAACCGCCAGGGATTCGTATTTTAAGCATCATAAACGACCGATGTGCTTCTAAAACTGAATTATGTCACACTTTTTTTTTATTTCTCTACCATTTTCGTTGGCTACCATCTCGCTGTTGCTGCTGTTGCTGCTGTTGCTGTTTCGCATGCTGCATTTTCATGTAGCACTGTCAAGAGGTTTCCTTTTGTTCGTGGTGAAATGAACGATTTTCTTCATTTCGTTCGCCAAGAGTATCATTTGATATTCTCGATTGCTAAAAGTCCCTTTGCTGCTGCACACACACAGACACATACACACACAAACACAATAAGACTTTAATTCTCAATATCCAAACTCACACACGATAAATGGGTCTTTGTACTTATAATCCGAAATAGTTTTCCTGTTTCGTTGGCGAACGAACGTTCGTCTGTCGCTTTATGAAGACGAAACTCGACAGAATACACAATAAACGGGTGTACACGATAGCAATTTTAGTCGAACGTCTAATACAAATGATTCGATTACATATAATAGCAGAAACCTTTCTTGCGTTCGAAGCGTCGCTACAATCCAATTTTATTATTATTGTTCGGATTTTTCATGTTTTGTTCGTTTTTCTGTTTCCCTCTCTCTCTAACTCACCCATTTCAGATAGTATGAGCAGGCCTTGTCGTCTTGTGTGCGTTCGATTGGCTCTTGTGCATGGCATGCTTTGACATATTCGCAAACTAAAGTAATCTATAGATTCGCAACCACATCACATACCATGAGACATCGGCCAAGTAACCAAACCAAAAATTCAAGCAACATAAATACACACCGAAATAAATACAGTAAACCTGTGTATGAAACAAGCAAAGGCCCAGCAACGATGCTAGAGAAAGGCGATGTTGGGTGACGAGGCACAAAATACCGAGAAAAATGATGACAAATATCGTTGATGCGGTATGTTAGTCGGTCGGCACACACTTTATTCTCTTTGTGTGTGTCTCTCTCGACTAGCTATAGCTCTCACTTTGTGTTCCGACGCCTGGCTCGACTCGGTTCTCTCTCTACCTCTGTGTGTGTAGTGTGTCCTTTTGCCTTTCGAAGTGCCCAAAATACAAATATGTGTGTTTTAGCATAGAGAAATGTTGTGGGCGCCCTTTGACGACTGCACAACGGATGCCCGAGTAAATATATGTATGTATATGGAAGTACATTGCGGTGAGTGAATTCGGTGGCTGAAACCATTTCGACTTATCGTGTAATGTGTTGTGTGTATACCTTTCACAATCTCTTAGCCACATGAGAGCAGAGCGCACCGTCACAAGTGTCACACTCATTGCGAAAATGCGAACAAATATCGAGCTTATACATCTGTATTTAACATTTGTATGGATTTCGAATGGCAAGCATTTTCGAATGGATTCCATTCTTGCGCGTTCAAAATTTAGTGATGTCACGATGAAATGCGAATCGAATTTGGCAAATGAATCGCGTTCACTTTTTCTTCCATTTCATTGTTCCCTTTCCTCAAACTTCTCCTGCCATCCATCGAATTAAATGTAGAAATGAAATATTTTCACTACACGGACAGTGAACGCGCGTTCGTACGATGAAGGAAAAATGGCGCATTATCATTGATGTGTGTTAGGACAAAATAAAGTGAAATCTTCATTTCACTTTGTATCCCTCTTGTTTTCTTGGGCAAATAGACTCCCTTCATCGTCAATTGCCACTGTCGTCTTATTTATGTTGTTGTCGGTTTTGGTAAAACGTACATTGTGGCTGACGGATCTCCGTCGATGTGTATGTGCGCTAGACCTCAGTTCCTCTGACATGTCACAAATATATATATATATATATATATATATCTATTGATATGGATTTTACCTTGACTGCCAAGCACACACTTCCACTCTCATTCGTTTCCTCTGTGATCACATCATACCAGGCGACTAACTACAATCAAGTCCATTGGAATGAGAAGTGTCTTTGTGCGTATCTCGTTCATTCACGTTTGCTGTAGAATTTCGAATGAAAATTTGCTTATATGCTTGGATGGTTTTTTTTCTTCTTTTCCCTTTTTTCGCGCAATCTTTTTTCCTTTTTTTACCTGAGCTTATTATTGTTCAAACGAGTGCTTTTTGATATCATCTCTTGTCGTTGTTTTTTCCGAATAAATTCCGGCTCAGTTTTCTTCTTTTGTTGAATGAAAAACATTTTTCTATGTTTGTGCTCGTTCATTTTTCGGGGCTTCACTCATACCTCGCAACACACACACACATTCGTTCACGCGTCATTCTTATAAATTCATGAATATTTGGCTTATAGGCATAACAACAGCAACAACTCCCACCATTTACAGCGCCAGAACGGTGTTTCTGTTGATGCTGCTACCGTGAAAAGTCACATCTTCCTCTCTACTTCAGCGCAGAAAAGGAGCTGAATCTCCGGAGCGGAGCGGAGCTTCTCTTTTTTCTCTCGCAAAAGCGCTCATAATGGTGAATCTTCCAAATCCCACACACGAACTAACATTTTATTTATATTTTATTTAATCTTTTGCTTTCCAAAGCTTTACATACATTTCTATTTCCATGTTTGTTCCGAATTTCAGTTCTCTATCTTTCTATCTCTTCTCGTGTGTAAATTTCGTTTGTTAGTGTTTTATGCCGAATATGTCTTTTTCTCTGAAAATAGTTCATGTAAAACTTTGTTGTTCGCTTACAAAAATGGGGCACCTTGACGTTTTGCGTACATTTTGTCTAGCGTTGCCAAACCAAAAAATGTTATGAAAAGAGAAGCAACCCTGAAAATGTGTGCAAAAAAGTAGGAAAAAGGTAGAATCAAGCTAACAAAAGGAGAAAAAAAGTTGGTCGTTTTTGTTCATACTTTTTCTGCAGCACAATCTAACGTCAAAATAAGTACGTGTATAGTAAATCGTTAAAAGCGATTAAATTCGTATAGAAACACAAAAAATTCAGAAAAAAATCGAAATAAATTGCATTATGGAAAATTACAAATTATCTTTATGCTTAAATACAATAAGTAAACACTTATTAAACTTTATTGCTATCAACGTTTCTGTTGCATACTCTATTGTTATAAAACATGTCGACTAAATGGAGTTTTCTCTTCTCTTTCATGTTATTTTCAGAAGTAGCTTCAGGCAACAAAAAATCGTTTCGTTTGCGTTGAACACAAGTGAGTGCCAGCAAAAATGAGGCAGATTAATGTATCGGTGGTCGGTATGTCCGGTACCGAAAAGGACAAAGGTCAAATTGGAGTTGGCAAATCGTGTTTATGCAATCGATTCGTGCGACCGTTAACCGATGACTATTTCATCGATCACATATCCGTTCTAAGTCAGGTAAACTAAAAATAAGCAATCTTTTCAATCAAATATTTACACAATTTCATTCACTTTCCTTGTCGGTCCCTTGCGGCTCACAAATTCTGATAAATTTAAATTTCCTCTTGTCTTTGCAGTCCGATTTCAGTGGTCGCATTGTAAACAATGATCATTTTTTGTACTGGGGCGATGTACGTAAACAGTCAGATGATGGCACCGATTATAACTTCCATGTTGTTGAACAGACGGAATTCGTTGACGATGCCACATTCCAACCGTTCAAAGTTGGAAAAATGGAATCATACATCAAACGTTGCACGGCAACAAAAATTGTATCTGCGGAAAAACTGATGTACATTTGCAAAAATCAATTAGGCATTGAAAAAGAGTACGAAGAACGTTGCATTCCCGATGGACGACTGTCGATTGACGGTTTCATTTGTGTGTTTGACGTCAGCCCGGTGCCGAATCGATCGATTGAAAAGCAAGTGGAGTATGTGCAGCAAATCATTAATTTTTGTATGAAAAATAAAAAGCCCATTGTGCTGGTGACAACGAAAAACGACGAAGCCAACGAGCAATTTGTGCGAGAAGCGGAGAAAATTTGCCAACGCAAGGAATACAAAGGAAATGTGTTTCTCGTTGAAACGTCATCGCATGAGGCGATCAATGTTGACATGGCATTTTTACTCCTCGCTCAAATCATTGACAAAGTGAAAATGCGCACGAAAATCCTCAGTTACAACGAAGCGTCACGGTCACGAAAAGAATTGCTGGATTGCAGCACGGAAGCGGTCAGCCGACTGATTCGTAGCCAAATTAGTGATTACCACACGACATGGAATCAAGCATCGAAAATGCTTGCCATTCACAAAGATTGGCAAGAGTTTTTGGAATTGTTCGGTCAGGAGGCGGGTCAACGGATTTTCCGAAGACATGTGAAAAAATTGCGCGAAGATAATGTGTCGCGTCGTCTGCAGGCCTACATGATCAATTTCAATAGTGTTTTACACGAATTTCTACCCGATTTGCAAACAGTCAATCGAGAAATAAGCGGTGCCGATTGGAATATCGTTCGGCCGTATATCAAAGGTCATACCGAATACGATCAATACTTTTTCGAATGCGAACAAGCACCATGGATGGATCTGAGCGATGTGAGCGATTGTGAAGACGAAACCCGAATTCCATTTGATGTACTCGAGACACCGGAAGCCGAAACCGTATTCAAAAATCATTTGAACGCATTACAACAGGAACAAAAGCGATTAGAGTAAGTATTTTATGTCGGTTTTATCTTGACTCTCATCAGATTAAGCCCTAATTCAATCCAAAATAATTAACTATGCATTAATACCGCTAACAATGTTTCACTCATTCTATTAACAAACTAACAAAAGGATGCCAAAGAGGTAAAAAAAAACAACACACTCACCACTGTCACTAAGCACATTCAATTGAATGCTAAAAATGCATTTTTCTTTCTTCTCATTCCACTCGCATTTCTAGATGGAAGAAGCAGTTCAAGAAACTTTTAGAAGAGGCTGGCTACGTTACGCCCGGAAAACAATTAGCCGAAGTGCGCGTATTGTTCATGGGTCGTGAATGCTTTGAGGCGCTATCCGAACACGATTGCCAGCAAATCTACGATAATCATCAAAAGGAAATTATCGAAAGAGCAAAGCATAACTTTCAAGAACTTCTACTTGAGAACGCCGATCTATTCTATCACTTCAAAAGCATCGAACCATCTGGAACGATAACACAGGACGACATCAAAGAAATTACTGATGTGCTACAAGACGACTCGCGATACAAAATTCTTGACCGATTGGATCAAGATCGGAAATTAATGCTATTTCAACATCTTGGATTCATCCACGTTCCACTCCGAGAGCATTGCCCGGCATTTCCAAACTGCGTCGATGCCATGGTCGAGCGTATCATTAGCGCCAAAAAATCACAAAGGTATACATAATCTATGCGCATAAATTTGTTTACCTTTTCTCTTTCGTATTGAGTGACGCAGCTAAAGGGGAATTTTGAAAAGCGAAAAAGAGGAAGAAAAACTTATGTACATATAATAATGGAAACACAAAATGATGTGGATTCAATTTTATGAATGCAATGGTAGAATAGAGCTTCATTAAAATTGATTACAATTTACCCAAACTGAAAACATCACAAAAATGAATGTGATTCCATTATTAGAATTGCTTTAACTACTTTTTTTTACCTATGTTAACGTCAATATAACTTTTCCTTCGACTTAATGAGGTTATGCATTGAATTCGGTTGAGCATGTTTAACCCAATTTAAAAGTTGGTTGAGCGCCTTAATCACTGTTGAGCCATGAAAAACTGTTCAATATTTGTACAACTTATTGTGCTTTTGAATATATTTCCTCGCTTCAATATGTGAACAATTTTACCTGAAAAATCTCTGCATTAAAAATTTAGGGCCAAAAAAAGTGGAAAAAAGGTTAATGCTCTTCGATGTGGTGGTGAAATAAAAAACTATTCTAATTGACAGTTCATTTGCGAACGACAACAGCCCGTCGTGCTGAGCACTTTAATCAAATTCCCATTGAATTGTATTGAAATCACAAATCATTGCTCATCACATCATTTAATTTAATTAAAACGTTGCAACCAATGTGTGCTATGTCCCTCCGTGTGTACGTATGAATATGTGAGCTGTGTGCTCCTCAGCTCGGCACATATGCAATCACAATCGCCCACGTATTTACCAATATATCGGCGCGTACAATCGAGTGTTTCGTGCACGCTTTTGCCTCATGATGGTTATTACAATAATTATTCATTTGCATTCCCATACAGCTTATCAAGAAATCACTGGAAGCAGTCGTCGTCGTTTCCGCCCAGCGATTGTACACTGAATGTATTGGTTCTCGGTGCCGAACAATTAGCTAGCGATATAATTAATGAAATTTGTTTGAATTGCGGCGACGATGGCGAATACATTTACGATGGCCAACCATACTATTTGCATACGCGCATCATCAATGGCAGCGACCACGAGACATTTAAAAATATCGATTTCCGCACAAGCGGATTAATTTGCGTGTACTCAAATCAGCATACGGTGGAATACTTGAAGGATAATTTGGAGCGTAGCCTGTTGTTTAATTTAGAAATGGAAGACAAATTCGAGTGCATACCGTTGGTTTTGGTCTATCAACCGGAAGATCAAAAGGATGACAACGAAATTGAAATTTTGCGCAGCGAAGGACAACACTTGGCCGAAATGTAAGTAAACCAGAAAACCGCCCCCTTGATTACCATCACACAGACAACTCTTTTTTTTTTTTACTCCGTTTTGCATACGTTTAGGTTGCACTGCACATTCATCGATACGTCGTTGAATTTCTACCATCATCGTAAATCACAGCATCAGAATTACATTTACAATATTTTGAATAACATTATTGAATGCATTCGGCTGACCGAACATCAAAAACCGGACGATTTGTATCAATTTTGTGATGCGCAGCCAGACATTCGAATCATTGTGTGTATGTTTTGCGGTGATCCATTTTCCGTTGAAAGCATCCTTAGTCCGATACTATCCGAGCCAACGAGTACGATGTCAAGCGAACGTAGTGTGATATTTGAAACATTTATGGGTGATACTAAGCGAAAAATCGAAGTGATTTTCTCGTCATATCATGGCGCGAATGCGTTCCGCGACGAACTGGTGCACGGTTTCATACTGTTGTACTCAACGAAACGACGGGCCTCGTTAGCGACATTGAAGTAAGTACATTCCACGCAACTTCATTTGTCATTCACGCGGAATTAACAGCGCGCTACTTTGACGCAAAGTTTCTAGGAAGTCTTTTTTTTCCATTTTCTTCAAAGAGTCCATCTTAAAACAAAATGTTCATTCATTCTCTTTTGCACAGTGCATTCTCAATGAATATTCCAAACTTGCCGATGCAACTGATTGCCATCACGGACAACGGCGGAGCGAATGCATTTTTCAACAATGAACTATGTCAGATGTTAATTACGGAAGGGAACAGTGTTGCTGAGAAATTGCGCGCGCATTTTATGACATCAGCTGGAGGAAATCAGTTGAAATGTAATTAATCATTTGATCAAATCGAAAAATCAGTTTTTGAATAATAATAATCATGAAAAGTTTTGGCCGTCTCTTGCTTTAGTTTCATCTTTGATATATTTTAAATGTCATTTGTTTTTGCTTCAATTTTGCAGTTACATTTTATACACCGTTTTTACAAGAGGTCTGGGAGAAGAAACCAGAAATCGAACAAGCTTTTCACATGGAAGAGCCAGTCACATTGGACTCGGGCGAAGGTACGCTTGAGCATTCGACACATCACCGGCCACAACCGCCACCACGTCACGAAAGCTACTTGCTTAAAAATGCAGATGGCTCAGGCAGCGAAAATTACGAGCATCTACCCACGCGGTCGCTTAATTCGCTCAACGGAGGCGATGATAACAACATCAATTTCAATTTAAATGATAATAACGAGAAGTATCCGCATTTGTACATGCTCGGTGAAAAGGATATGGGCATCGACGATTCCTACATGAACGATGACGATAAAGATGATAAATCTCGACTTATTCACCAAGGTAACAGCGCAATGCGTGAATTCAATAAGTTAATTGCAAAAAAAAAAAATACCGTACCTTACCCATTTAGCATACATACGTATATCATAAAACATAATAAACTAACCTAACATTCCATAAAATAATCATTTGCATGCTGATTGAAAAACTGCTACTGCTACCAATTAATAACGCTTTTGTACTAATACAAAACATTCAAATCCATAATCATCTCACAAAAACACACATATACACATACATTTTTACCGAGCAAAAAGTCCCATGCTAAAGAATTCACCCAAAAATTGTTTCATCTCAACCCTCACCACCTCCATCCACATTTTTTTTTTTCACTTTCGAAAAACACATCATTAAAACTCACAAACATCCATCAAGTAATTAAAAAACATTGTTCAAATTGTACTAACCAACAACTCATATCGTACAACATTTTCTCTCTCTCTCTCTCTCTTTCTCTCTCTTTCCCTCATTTCATTTTGTGTGTCTTCCTCTCTTCGTCCGACTCTTCGATTTTAATTGCGAACTTTTGCGTACACACAATTTTGTGTGTGTGTGTGTGTTCAACCGAAACGAATTATCCATGGTTTGTTTACTTATTCCGGCAATGTGTGCGCAACCCTCCGACCAAAAACCCAAAAAAAATATGCATCCAAATTCATAAATCAAAACAACAAACATAATCCAACGCAAACAATAACTCAATATTTAACATAATTACAACTTGCCAAATAAATACGAACAAATTAATGGCCAACGCATTCGAAATTGAAACTGGCAAACGAACACGAAATACAAATCTGTGCGCCCCGACGATAAAATTGTGCGATAAAAAAAGGCTTTCAGATTTATCCACCGCCAACAACACCACCCGAGCCAGCACCACCTGATCATATCGGAACGTCGTCAATGATGCGACAGTATAAAAGCAATTTGGTTTCAGCCTCACAGTCCAGTCTAGACGACATCACATGTAAACCAACAAAAAAAACATTTAACTCACTTTTTTTTTATAAGAACCGAAAAAAAAACTGCTCACTTTCTCTGATTGACTTATCTGTTTGTTCTGTTTGGCCACCAAAGAAAAAAAATATTGCTAGCTGCTGAGGCTTGAAAAATGCACAATTCTCTAGATTGCTGTCACTATATTATAGGGTGTTTTTGTTATGCTTTGTTATTTCCGATGAAAATCTAGCTGCGGCCGAGACAAATGTGTTGAGGTCACTTGTCGATTCTTATACATTTTGTTAGTTTCTCTCTAGTGTTTTTTTTTGTTTGTTCTTAGCGAAAATGGACCACAAACTTGCACCAAGCTTATAGCAACAGAATTCTCTTCCATTTTTTTAGCCTATCTATCGCACACAATTCGCACCAAGTGTCTCACATTTTTTTGAGTTTTTGTCGAAATTTATTGTCCGTCTGTCCATTCGTTTGTGTGTGTTGTGACTTCAATTATGCTTTTTTTGGGGTGTCGAGCACCAAACGTGCTCCACTATCCACTAGAACTATCTTAGCAATAATGCGAACGGGACCATTTTTTAGCCGACCTATCTCAATGTTTGTCGTAGATATCGAATTTGCTATTCATTTATTTTTGTGTGTGTTGTTGTTGTTGTTCGTGTCAGCCTTAATTTATTGTGGCTTCTTTTTTGTGTACGCTTTCATTTTGTGAGTTGAATTGCGAAAAATGGTTATTCACTCTATTGATAAAATGTCGTATTTTAATTTCAAAGTTTCCATTGTGTGGCATAGAATTAATTACTCGTATTTTTTTTTCATTTTGTTGAAGAAAAAAAGGGATACTTTTGGTCATCCCTTATTATTGCTTGGATTATTTTAGTTTTGCTTTTTATGTAGCACAAAACGTTCTCTTCAACTCTTGCATTTTAATTTGAAATGGTTCTTTATCTTTATACTGACATTCTATCTCGATTTCACTGTGTGTGTGTGTCTCTTTCTTTTCGCTCATGTTGTTTAATAATAACACAAAAAATTATATAACTAATGTATTGCAGCCGACGTAAGTGGTTCGAAGGATTCATTAACAACTCACGACTCAGGTTAATCTCTTCAAAATCCATATTCATTTGCATAATTACATTCATTTGTTTCTTCCTTCTCTCTCTCTCTCTTTTCATTTTTTTTGTTGTTGTATCGTAAAGATGCTCAAAATGCCCCATTTTCTTTTTTTCTCTCATTTTTTTGTGTTCGTTAAGTAGAAAGACTTTTAAGTGCTTCTTTCCATTTTGGTGTTTGGTTCATCTTTCTTTGTGTGTTGCCAATAGAAAGCAAGCCTTGTGATATTTATACTAATCTGGAGCTTTTTCTTGTGCTAATTGAAATTAAATAGGTTGGCTGGATGATGCTCAGTATAATGACAAACGCGGCGGTGTCGGCATTAGCGGAATCGCTGGTTTGGGTAGCAGCTCAGGCGAAAAAGAAGGCCGACGAAACATTCTGTGGAACAATTTCAGTTCGCATCATGCATTCACAACCGGTCGTCACCCACGCCAAAGTGACACGAATTTCGGAAATAAAGTTCGACCGAAAGGACCTAGTCAAACACTTAAGGTAAATATTTACATTTATTCTGAAAGTCAATTTTTCAAAACACTGATTATTATTTTCTTCAATTTCACAGCAACCGGGCAAATTGAACTTGAAAAATTTTGCCATTGTCAATGACGCACTGGCTCGCATGAATGTCAACAGTGATAACAACATGCAAGAAGGTGATAAAAGTAGAAATAAAAAACTTTTTAGAAATTCTACCAAAAAATCCACATCTAAATCAAAAACTTCAAAAACCTCTGCTCCCCTTGCTGCACCTGAAGACGATTCGGATGATTTGGCGGAATATGCACAAGTCAAAGATGTGTACGGTTTGGATGGTGTGGTTGGTTCCACCGGGCCCGATCCAACTATCTTCAATTTTACCCATGACGGCACCTCATCAACATCCAAATCCAACAGTAAGACGAGACATCGACGTGATAAAGGACCAAGTACACATTAGTCTTTTGTTTTGTTTCATTTCACATGAATTTGTTGTCGTTTTATTTTTTTTGGTTTTTCGTTTGAATCTCGATTGTTTCGTTTGATTTGTTTTGACTTGATTTTGGTTGTGTTTTTTGCGAACTTTGGCGAGTAGGGATTTAGTGAAGGTTTCCATTCATTCAGACTCGGTCGTGCTGAGCTAATGTAATTATTTTCCTGTTGCAGAATATTCCGAATCAGACAGTGAATCAAGCTCATCGGAGCAGAAAAATCGTGGCGGACTGGATGGCTACTATAAAATGAATCGCAAGGCTCAAACACACAAACGAATGCGAAAGAAGCGAACAGCAATACCGGTTCAACCGCCAAAAGTACCGTTTGGCACTTATGTGTGTCCACCAGAAATACCGATGCTGTATCAGAAAATGAAAACCGAAACCAAGAAAATGAGCACATTGGAAAAAGGTATGTGCACTGTGCACGCAGCAAGCACATTTCATTCGAGAAAAATTGATTACGTTTCTAATTGAATTTAATTTGATGCAATTAATTAGGTAAAATGTACGGCGATGTACAAGAAGAGGAGTCGAGCATAGACGTCTCATCGCCACGTGACAATAACTCACCAATCGTACGTATCCGAAACCATTTCAATTCAATTTCCACAAATCGTTGAAATTTTAATGAAATTTTTCTCTTCGCCCATTTTTCATTTTCTAGTTCGGTGTTGTGCCAAAGCTGAAGGACAATGATCGCGAAAAATTGCTGGAACGTAAGCGTGAAAAGCAAAAATTGGCGGCCAGCAAGGAGGAGGAGAAATTGGAAAAACGCAGAGCCAAAGATGAAGCAGCCAAATTGAGAAAGCTCATCGATAAGGAAAAGGAATTGGAGAAGAAAATGAAACGCAAATCGAAACCAAATGGCAAAAATATGGTCGAAGGTGCTGCACTCTCTGACTTTTTGCAATCGGAAAAGAATCTCATTCCATTATTTATGGAAAAATGCGTCGAATTTATCGAACAAGAAGGCTTAGACTCAGAGGGTATTTATCGAGTGCCTGGTAATCGTGCACATGTCGAATTATTGTACCAAAAACTGCAAGAAGGTAAGTTATTGTTTGCAGATGGAAGATAATAATGTGTGAGTGTAAAATTTAAACTTTCTTTTCAGAACCAAATGCTGACATTGAAGTATTGGATATTCCTGTGAATGCAGTTGCAACCGCATTGAAAGATTTCTTCTCAAAGCATCTGCCATCTCTGTTTGAAAAGGATGTGATGAAGGAGCTCGAAGAGATTGCAGGTGAGTCCATTAATGGAATATGAAGCAATTCCGGTGAAAAGAATCTAGTGACAATTTCAATTCAGCTAATATCATTGAACCATTTCCAGCTTCGATTCTATCACGAAATGGAGCGCCATCAAATCTAAATATGGAAGTGAAAACCGACCGGAGTTGTCGTTTGTTGGCACTACGAGGCCTACTCAACAAGCTACCACCAATCAATTTCTCAATTTTGAAATACATTTTCCAACATTTCGTGCGGTATGCACCAACCATTTTTTATCTTCAGTCTGGAATTCGAAACAGTTACATTTTTTTTCAATTCACAAATTCTATTTTGCAAACAGGGTGTCGGAGAATTCGAAGCTCAACAGTATGGACAGCAAGAATTTGGCGATTTGCTGGTGGCCAACGTTGATTCCAATCCATTTCACCGATATGATGCACTTCGAACAGTTGCGACCGTATCTGGAGGACATCGTACAAACAATGATCGATCAATATCCATTTTTATTCTGTGGTAAAGAAGCCTTTGTCATGGTTTAGGCGATTTAGTATACCAATTTTGAATGAATTATGAACATAACCATTTATTCAAATGTAATTGTGTCCGTTTTTATTTATTTGTTATTTAGATAAAATGGAAAAAGAAATGAAAATGCATCGATATTGAAGAAAATAAATTTTTTTTTTCGGTCATTTAATCAAGAAAAAAAAAACGAACAAAAACAAAGAGAAAAAGAGACACACAGATAGAGAGAAAAAGATCAAGAATCGCACTCAAAGAGACAGAGTGGTAAAAAAAAAAATCAGAGAGAAAAGCGAAAAAAAGAGAGTATCGTATTGAATAGTTCTATTGTTTAATATGCTGAACATCAGCTGAGCCAGTTACACGGCACATCACATTCAATTCCAATAGCCGAGGTTAGTGAATTTGCAACAGAAACGTGAAATCAACATTTTAAATTAGAAACTAACAAGTTGGGGAAACATGTTCTCTCAACAACAACAACAACAAACACTACTAATCATATTGCCGACTAATCGAATCCTTGTGAATGCACTTAAACACTTATTAGATCACATTAAATGACATCAATACAAAATGAAAATGAAATCAGTTTTCAAATAATTAATCATACCGACAAAGAAAAATCGAGCAAATGGATCGTCAATATCACAGCCAATTAATCAGTAGATATGCATGCAGTTTAAGCCAAATAAAATACGAGCAAAACAAATAAATGAATAAAAAAACATACAATTCTTTTCCCATTCGCTTAACGCACAATTTATAGGTAGTAAATGAAAATAGTTTATATTCTTGATGTGAACATGTAGGAAACCAATGAAATATAATGACTCAACAAATCACCACAGCCGAACGCTCATTTGTCAGAAATAAAACTTCTTGAAATAGAAACAAATACGATCCAAACTGAACAAAGTTTTTAACACATTACTATGAAACAAAAGCTCTCACCGATTACGATGTTGTTTGATCCAACCCAATGCCCCGTAAAATGGCCTGTGAACGTATAATTTTTTTTCTAAACGCTTAAAATTCCATTTTCATTTTGAGCCTATTTTTTTTTCTTTTTGGCTTTTCATGCTCTTTTCATGACATACTTTTCAATCATTTTTGCAAATTTTGTGGTCTTCCCATAGTTTTTTTTTTCAACGATATTTTCGGTGGGGAATCGATACTAATTAATTGTCTCTTTAAACACGGCGAAAAATTAAAATTTTCGCTATCGTCGAAATAAACGAATACACAACTTTATCAAATGAACTAATCGAAGAAAATATCTTCATAGAAAAGAAAAACGGCGATATTTTTTTTTGCTGTGCAAACGAAATAGATTGCGCTTTAACCAAAACATTCCGTGTTTTTATTTTTCTCATAATAAAAAAGATAGAAAATCGAATTGATTAATCATAATAAAAGAAAAGGATCAATGCCATTAAATGTAGAATATATAGGTTTTTAAAGGAAAAAAAAAAGTATTTTTTGTGTTCATGTTGCGAATATCAAAATAAATGTAAAACGCTTTTTCAGTGAAATCGTGACGGGAAACATTTTAAATCTTTTGTTTTTTTTAATATTAAAAAATTGAGTTCATATTTTCTGTATATATTTATTTTGAAAATATATTTCTTTAATTGTAATAATAATAATAATGAGAATGGGTATTCAAAAATGAAATGTATCACATGTAGTTAGTCGAGGTTTATATTATCGGATAGGGAGATTAGAGACTCAGTTTTAAGAATTTACAAATTGAAATTGTTGTTGCCATTTCAAATACACACATTTATTTTACACGCAATTTTTTTTTTATTTTTATTTTAGTCGTTTTATCATTTCCTTAAATTGTTGTTTTGACTTTTATCCTAATTTTATTTTTTCGATTTTAAGCGAGTGTATATTTTTTGCTTGTTTTCCTTTTTTAATTACTTTAGAGGTAGTAATTCTTGGACTGAGCTGATGAAAACATAATTCCCATACCGAATAACGTTGAATACCATCAATTTATAGGACTCGTAGTGACTATTTGCAATTTCTGCTGTAGACAAGACAACAAAAGAAACAAAAAAAGAAAAGAAAATTCAATGAGAATAACGATAAAAAAAAAAGAAATCTAGTGTATTTTGAAAGGTGGCATCGACAGACATACTAAAAACATAGCAGCATGAGAACAAATTTTTTATATTGTATCGTAGCGAAGCAAAAGTTATTTTTGTGTATATGTTTAGAGAACAAAGAAATCACCAGAGTCTAGGATGTGGCAGAAAATGAAAAGAAAAAAGAAGAATAAGGAGAAAACTCTAACTATTATCGATATTATGATGTCTATTCTCATCAATGTGAATTTTCAATTTTACATCTGAACGTTATTAAAATTCAATGTGTGAGCTATGTAAACAACGAAAGTTGGCATTGCATTCATAACATTTGATACATTTCCGTTGTTCACGTTTGGCGTACGCTTTTACTGAAAAAAAAACATATTTATGAAAATGGCTTTAAAATGAAAACTGAAATAAAGAAAATATCAATAGGTGTTGAGGATTAAAAGTTTGATCGTCTTTCGATTCGTTCACTCGAAGCCATCACAATTAGATATCAAGTCATCTCGTGTAAGTGCATTAAATAAAAGAGATGAAAGAGAGCTAAAATCTACCAATAAACTATTTGAGCGGACTTCATTGAACGACTTCAAATTTTCAATCACCAATTCAAACTTTGTAAGCACTCAAACGATTTAAAGAGATGGTCAAATAGACCATTTTCATTATCAAAAATAAGAACTGTTCTTTAGTGTGAAGAAAAAATAGAACGAGCGCAAGTAATTGCAGGCCGTTGCTTTCACTCGTGATCCCCACGAAACAGAAACGAACGAATGAAGTCATTGAATAAAAAGAACCTTCTTTTAAATTTTAAAACCAAAACAAAAAAAAATATCAATTATAAATGTTGTGTATAAAAATAAAAACAATGAAAAAAAATCTTAAAAATTAAAACAGAAAATCATAGGAAAAAATAAAGACGATCTAAATGTATGCACAATCATCTGTGTTTTTCATATGTTTTCCTCTTTCCATTTTCAGTTGGTAGTTTAGTTTTCATTCTTTTTTTTTTCTACATTTTTTTCAGCCACGTTTATTATCATTTTTCTGCACTTTGATTACTGTCCTTGCTTTAGTTTACTTCCCAAGCACACGATGTTACAGCATTTATCACATCACGAAATGTTCCCGCGCTTCTCACCGACCGTTTTGTTTCAATCCAGTACCCACCAAGAATGAATTAATCAAAACCATTTTCATTTATGCGAAAATGGTACGAAGCATCAAAATGAACTGGTGAAGTTGTTGTGTAATACGGTTGTAATTAAAATCAAAATTTTATTTCGTCGCATAAATTCAGATGATGGCCAACACAGAGTCAATAAACTGAATTCAATTAGAAGACACAGAGAGAGATAGCCATATGGATAGGACGAAAACAAACTTAATTACTGTTTAGTGGGTTATTTATATTTTGATAAGTTTTTACTCGTATTTTGGCGAACAATGATCGAAATTGATATTCAAGAGAAAATGTCGTTTCAAATGTGCTGATGCTGGTTGAAATGGAACCGTTTTTTAGTGAACAGAATAAAATGAAGGATTTTGTCCAAACATTTACATAAGAAAAACAATTTGTTAGATTTAGAATGGAAATTGAAAAGCCAATTTTTTCGTGTTTGGTTTAATTTTAGTTCTTAAAAGTGGCTTCATTTTTCATTCCCTTTTATTTTGTTCATTGAATCCGATTCATTTTTTTTCAAGTTTTGTTTTATTCGAGTTTTGTAAATTTAATTCAGTAATTTCAAGTAATCTACTTGGATAAAATGAGTCGTTCTCAGATAGGATTTTTTAAAAACCGCAAACATTCTGGGAAATTTTCAGACAAAAGGAAAAAAAACAACAACAGAAGTCCTACAAATGAAACAAGAAAAAATGAATTACCTGATTCTTCCACCACATATGACTAAGTTTAGCTAACCAATTGAATGTCTAGTTATAGAGCAAACAAAGAAACAGAAGAGAAATTCCACACGTGAAACAATTGACTTGAAGAAAATAAAAGTTACAAAAATGAAAAATGGTAGAATTTTCAACGATTCACTTTAAACCTTAACCAATTCCATATTTTGAACACACTGAAACTTCTATATTTTCCATACTGGCGAATTATTCACAGTACAGCACTTAGTCTGTATGATATTTCACCCAATATCTTTTTTAATTTCTTTAAATTGGATATTGCCAAAACTTTATCCTGACAATGAAACAAACGATATCTATTTAAAATGAATGATGGAAATCATTAAAATTTTCATTTGAATGATATAATTATATAATAACTTAATGCTGCACCAATTGCAAGCGAATGAATTTGATTTACAATTTGACCGAAAATGAATTGGGCGAGTTAAACTCGATGAAGGAATGTTCAAATAAACTAGTTGCATCAATGGAAAGGAATGATTGTTGTGATGATGAAAGAAACCGTAGCGCATCCTTTAATCTTTTCCTCAGCTTTTTACTAAACGATTAGATGTTTCAAGTGAATCGAGAGAACGAAAAAAAAGTAAAATGAATGTGAAAGTCCAACCGAATCATGACAATTAGCTAAGTAAATGTTTTATACTGAATTGAAATTATTACTTATGAAGAAAAAAAAACGAAAACAATTTAAAAATTACGATTTAGAGAATAAAATGAATTATGGAACCAATTCGACAAGAACAATAACAATGGAAAGGAAATATGATTTAAAAAAAAAAGTGTATTGGTCGTTGGTTAGCTGTGACCAATCACATTTTTCTATCTGAACAATGCACAAAATGTAAAGGAAGTTGGTTGAGGAAAAATGTCAAGTAAAATTGACACAAAGAAACCAGCGACAAAATTAACGAGCTTCGCCAAAACATATGACTTAGTATGAAGAAAACCAAGCGTTCAAATCAGCCACTTCAATTTAAGCAACCGTTTGTTATATCGAGGAATTATGACAGATCTTTAGCATAAAATTGGAATCTATTCTATTCGAAGAATCAAACAAAATTCATTTTCTCAAGCCCATTCAAAAGCGCGCTCTACTTAGATTGAAGAGGAATTAATAATGTACTTGTACATAAAGAGAGAAAAAGTGTCACAGATGATACCAAAGAATGTTTTAAACGCGCTGTCGCTTGTTTTGACTTTGTTCTGCCTGTTCATTGAAATATATCAGAACAAATACAATTAGATGGTATAACGCCGTTTCTTACTCAAATGGAATTTTTATTCAATACCCCTCCCCCACACAAGTTGATCAAATATTTATCGTTACAAATCATTTCAAATTCCGTGTTTGCATACAATGAATATTCACATTAAAATACAACAACAACAACTAACAAATATTAATTCTATTGTACTATAAATGTGTAAACAATGAAATCAATAAATAAATACATCAACAAAAATAATAGCCGAAGATTTCTGAATTTTTTACGTGCATATTTTCGGTGAGTTTTCTGCTTGACCTTTTGTTCGTCTCTCGGTTTTGCAACATATTCCCCGTAATCCGATAGCAATACATTGCTTCTTATGGAGGCTGAATGGATGGATTTTTGTAACAGCGCCTCTAGTGAAAATATCTTAGAATGATGGAATATTTCGAACTTTAATACGCTTTTCTGCTAATTTATCCAAACTCACCTCTTAAGTGGTAAATTAAAACCAATAAATATTTACACATCGAAATATCTCAAAAACGGCTGGGAAAATCGGCAAAATGGACCGTGGTGTCACTTCCCAAAGGGAGTGTAGACACCCGGCTGGTTTGATGGCCCAAAGCTCAAATCCAGTGGATTCGGGCTGATCCATGGGCTCTCAGGATTTGGTCTGATTCCCAGCTTTTCCTTTCCTGTGAGCATCTTTACAAGTCACACTCATGTTTTGTATGGAATTTCACCACAGGGCAAGTGCTGGGATCAGTCCAAATCCAGAGAACCCATGGATGAGCTCAAATCCACCGGATTTGAACTTTGGGCCATCAAACCAGTCCATTTTGCCGATTTTCCCAGCCGTTTTCGAGATATTTTCATGTGTAGTTTAGTGAGAAAGATATCCGCCATGACAGCATTTTGGCCCGCCATGTTGGTATTTTGGTTTATATTAACAGAACATTCTCTACTTTGACAGTCAACGTTTCTAAACGTAAACACAAATATGATCTGTCATAATCACATTCACCACTTCTAATGTGCTTCAGAGAGCTTCTGACAGCGCCATCCATCCGAAGCGTTTGAAACATTAAAGGCTTTTGCTGATTTTTTCTGCCGCATTTTCATTCGAGCTATCGCCTTATGATATTCCCGTCTCTTGGGCAATACAGTGCCCCATATGTATTTTATATGAAAACTGTACTGTGATGTTACAAAGGAGGAATTGAAAAAATGATAAGCGTACATTCGATTAATTAAAATCTCAATTTCAAACCGGCTACTTTGTTTATGTTATGCGAGCTGGGGTTTGATAGAGACGTATTTATCACATTTTTCTTATCTCCAAAAAAGTAAACATGGTATCGCAGATTAAATTAAAGCACAAATATTCAAATTAAAAATTGCCTCGAGATTCTACCTAATCAAAAGTGACCTTATCGTTTCTTCACTTCGCTGCAGTCGATGCAAGCAATCGATCCAAAAATAATCACAGCCTCGTTAGCGCAGTCGGTAGCGCGCCAGTCTCATAATCAGAATTCGGGAGAAGCTTGGGAAATCTGGAGGTCCTGAGATCGAAACTCAGACGGGGCATTAATTTTTTACCCATTTTACTTCATTCTCTCTGAATTTCCTCATTTCAACTCAAATTTATTCAATAAAACATTTTATATTTGTGTGATTTTGCATGCAAAATTGAATCTACGCATCATTTTCATTTGATTTTATTGACCCCAGTTCCAATTTTAGATCAAATTTGAATTACGTCAATGTTCAATTGACTCATAAAATAGCAATGTCAACTCAGAAATTATTGCAAATATTATGCGTTTCACGCACTGATGTGTTTACATGAAACTACTGCGAGAGCACCTGTCCCAACATTTTTTTTTTTAATTTTTTAAAATTTAGTTTTCTTGACACGTACTTACTTTGACGAGTAACAAATTGCAATACATTGCCTATATGCTCATTGATCAATTGCCAACAAAATGGTATAAAAACCCGAGACGATTTGAAGAATGTATCAGTTTTACTTTATCGTTTGAATAAGCTAAACATCGAACTTCATCAATATGTTCAAAATCGTAAGTGATTATTTTACAGTGAAAAGAATCGAAACAAATACAAGTGACTATTTTTAATTGAATTTATTTTGTAAAGATCGCCTTCGTATTCATGGTTATCGCCTGCGTTTGTGCCAAGCCAAAACCAGATGTGATCGCCTACAGTGCTCCAGTTGCCGCTGTTCCATTGGCCACTAGCAGCCAATACTTTGCTCGTGAGTTAAAATTGGAAACGTTGGCACTTCGGCGATAATTGATCAAACTTTTTACAATTTCATAGGTAGCACATCTCCATATGTAGCATATTCAGCACCATATTCATCACCGTATGTTGCCACTTATTCATCACCGTATGTTGCCGCTTCTCCATACGTTGCTGCTTCACCATACGCTGCGTACACCTCAACAGTTCTATTATAAATCACTTGCAACGATTGAATGAAAAAACGAAATTGTTTTGATAAAGAATAAACGGTTTTTTATGCAATTTAATTGTTTTATTTACTTTTTAAATAAAAACGCATGCTTTGGCTTTTAGTTTTCAATTGGAATAAACAGAAGACATGCGTATGCTTTCCATCACAACATCTTTTTAAACGTTAGTCCACTCAATTCCATCTGTAAATCAAACGAAGAATTCTCACTTGTATTAGAAAAACCCACATTCGCTAATACAGCAAATCAATTCGAAACTAACATTGCATAATAATATCCGTGCGCATAACCGTTACGTTTTATCGCGTCACATTTCAAATCGTCATCATTTTTTTTATTCATCACTGATCAGTGATTGAAAACGAATGCGCAGATTTAGCTCTACTGAACTTTAGTTTGCCGCTTTGAAGAAGGTGATTGAAATTCAAATTTGGACTCTTTCTTTCATGGTTTTCTCGGCATTCGTCATCTGAGTGAAGCGTAACTTCATTTATCAATATATGGCGGTAACACTTTTAATTTCAACATTCGTTGACTGTTTATTTACATTTTGTCGAAACTTTCTCCGATCTTAAAATTATGTCATCGATGGTATAAAAGAAAACTGGTAAATCATTCCGGTTTAGTATTCGTTTAACATCTCGTGCATTCGCTTCAAAATCTTTGGGTTCAAAATTCGAAAATCTCGTTTAAAAATGAAATCCTTCATTGTACTAACTGTATTCAGTGCAATCACGTTCTTAGGAGTCTCATCGAGTAATTACTGCCTATTTCAACTGCATTATTATCAGGAAAATTAATTAGATTCTGTGTTTTTTTCAGTTCCATTATCTAGAGCGGCTTCAGAACGGTGAGTAATGAATATGAATTTGAATCTGTTCTTACATTTACTTTCACTTTGATCAATATGAACTCAAAATCAATTCTTCTTACACTTTCACTTTCGCCTTGTTCAAATGCGACTATTTTCGCCGTAATGCAGAACAATAGATGACATTTGGGATGGTAACTCATACATTTGATTTGGAATTGTCAGGAGACACAGTTAATAATGTGCAATGAATGTTTGCAGGTGTTACAGAAAATATGGAACGTCAAATTGGCGAAGGACTTTTCGATATATTATTGTATGGAATTACCGGAGGTAAGGGATTGGGTCGTGATGGTAGCACTCGACTTCATTTGGCCGCTCGCAGAGGTAACAGAAATAATATTATTTTTTTAGCATCAAAGTCGATGAGTATTCTCTACGCTACACTGATTTTACTTTTAGGTAATTTGAAACATGTTCAAGATGAAATCGACGATGGCGAAGATGTTGATACTACCGATTTTCTTGGAAATACACCTTTACATGAGGCTGTTTTGAATGGTAATGAAAAAGATTCATTGTTTTTTTATTTAAATCGATAAACAAATGAAATTGCTTTAAAATCATCTGCAGGGAATACAAAAATTGTAAGAATGCTACTTGAAAACGATGCAGACGTTAGCATTGAAAACGATCGCGGGAAAACAGCGATTGATGTGGCTGTGGATCAAGGTCGAGACCAAATTCTAAAGATGCTTCTCAAAGTTCAGAAGAAAGAATTCGAAGATCGCCGCTTAAGAGTGAATTACTTGAAAAAGGCACTGCTTTGAAATATATTTAGTTAGCTTCCAAATCTAGATTATTCTATAGCATTTATTATTTATGGTCATTATAATAAATATATTCGATTGTGAAAAGAAGAAGAAAGTGTGCACTGTGCATTCAAATGTTGTATGGACCGGAAAATTGATTTAAGAGAAAATATCAAAATGGATTGTAACTCAATTCTGAGCTAAAAGACTGTTCTGAAAATTTAAATTTTAATTTTTCGCATTGAAAAAATGCTCTCCAGAAATTTTCAGCAAAATCTCATGAGGGCATTTTAGTTTCATCAAAAAATGCCACTTTGTATTCGAAATAAAAATGTGCGCTCCACGTGCTCCAAAAAATTAAACCGAAATAAATTTATTTCACAGATTGAAATTAAATAAATATGTTAGTAAAAAAAGAAATGAATAGTGAGGCCATAATGCAATTTAAACAAAGAACTTTGCTGCAATTAAATTTGGGAATTAACAATGTACAGGTAACTTTTCCTGTATTCAATTTTCAAGCTGAAAATCATTCTCAAAGCTAGGGGAATTTAACTCTTACGAGTTCAGCATGTTTTTTGCCAGTTTGCTTGATTCGCGGGAGTTCGACGCGTTCCTTGTACGTACTGACGCGCACGGTCACAAGTTTACACAAGTTTGTTTATGGTTTTGCGCGTTTTTCAAGTTGTTATTTGACAATTAAAACGCGTTTCAAGCTAAAAATCGGTTGTTTACGTGTATAAAGATTTTTCACATCCTTTCCAAAAGTTCAAAGATTTTTATAATTATAAAATGGACAAAGGAAATATTTTTAAAGAGCTGGAGAAAGTGTTGAAGAAAAAGTTAATCCAGATATAATAAATGGAACGACTGATGTGTGCGCGTCGTCCAGCTACAAGTTTGCACACGAACTCGCGCGCGTTCGCGCATGTTGTTTTAATACGGAACTTGACAACTGAGTGGAATCATGCAAGTTCTCTGGTGAATGTAACAATTTCGTGCGCGTTTATATCATTTTTTTACAAGTTTTCACGTAGTTAAATCCCCCTAGTCTCAAAGTCATTCCAGTTGCTCATTATTATGATAGATCAACGGTAACGAAATATTTTGGCAACAATATTTAGATTGGTTGAATGCTTGATAAACTAACAAAACCGCATTGTCAATTGATGAAATAATGAAATATTATGCACTTCACATAGGTAAGGTGTTAATAAGAAATCACATCGATGCCACGATATCAGCTGACTTGAACAATGTTACTGCTCATGCATGTCACGTATTAATTGAATAAGTTTATGAATTATCGATTGCATGACTCCCATTATTTTTTTTTTTTGTTCAGTGTCAAACTCAATCGCATAAAAGCCGGAGTCAGCGCGAAGAATGTATCAGTTTGTGTTTGTCATTTGAAGAAGCTACACATTCCACTTTGTCAAAATGTTCAAAATTGTGAGTGTATGAACTTGGAATGTTTCCTTTTTTGAAAATTTTAAATTTAAATTAAAGAAAGTTTCTGACCAACACATAATAATGAGCGTTGTCTCGAAATATAGTAACCCAACTTCCTTCCATTATTTTATATCATTCTTTTCAGATTGCTTTCTTATTCATGGCTATCGTTATCGCTTGCGTGTGCGCCGAACCAAAGCCTGATGTAATTGCTTACAGTGCACCAGTTGTCGCTGCTCCATTGGCCACTAGCAGTCAATACTTTGCTCGTGAGTTGATATTACCAATGTTCGAACAATGATGCGATTTTTCATTATGTACTAATTTGTACTAATTTGTACTCGTTTTGTTCTGTCACTAAAACAGGAAGCTCATCTCCATAAGTAGCATACCCATATGTCGCTGCATATTCAGCACCTTATGTTGTCGCTGATCCGTATGCTGCTTACACATCAACACTCTTCTTATAAATGTGATATATTCGAGAAGAAGAAACCATCGGTTCTATTCAATTGGCAAAAGAACGATTTTGTTATGTGAAAATGAATAAATGTCGAAATTTTATGTAATATGAGCAGTTTCATCTTTTAATCCAGATAATGTACAGGATAAATTCGCATAGAATTTCATATGTTATGTATCATCCAAACGAAAAGCGTAGAACAATCGTTCTTTTCCATTCTAATGAAATTACACTAAAATAATTGCTTGGTTTATTTCGCTGTCGAGTGTGTGATAACAATCTAATAAGCTATTCTTGCTCGTTGTGGTCTTTAAAACGTTCTATACTTGCGAATCAATGTTATGTAAACATTCAATTGAGTGAAAATGAAATATTGATTGCACGTAATCAAAAATTTCCCAATCTTTCCTTCAATTCACTGCAGTCGATTCAAGCAATCGGTCCAAGGATAATCACAGCCTCGTTAGCGCAGTAGGTAGCGCGCCAGTTTCATAATCAAAATTGGGGAAAGCTTGGGAAATCTGGAGGTCCTGAGATCGAAACTCAAACGGGGCATTCATTTTTTTACCCATCTTGCCTATGTTTATATGATTGATCTTCTTAATATTTGAATTCATTGAATATGTATCAAGTATCGCGATTTTTTTAGTTGAAAATGGTTGATTTAAAATGATTTATTTTTTTATATACAGGAGCCATTTTTGGAATAATCTTTTCGTAAATGGGATTAAATTTTACAAAATTCGACCGTCGTGTATAAACTCTTTATTTGTTACGATACGAGAATAGAACATACGTATATCGTGCGTTTTATTCATTTAAAATAAAACTTGGCCACATTTCTAGATATTTCCATTGTGTGTTGTTTTTAATTTTATCAAATCACATCATCCGCTGCTCTCTGGGTAAACATTTATAATCACATTCAATTCTAAGTGGTGAAAAGACTTTGACTCCAACTTTCACTACCAAATAAACAACTAGATAAACGATTACACTTGCGACATTTTATCATTCGTTCGAAATTTTCATGCTTCATCCGGCGAATTTGGTCTAAAATAGCTGGTTTCAACGCGAGAAGAAGATAAGAAGTTTGCGTTATTGTACAAGGTCAGCTGTTTGTTTTCCTAGCACTTTATAAATTGCTCATTATCGCTTACATAAATGGGAACGCTCTTCCTGAGTCTCAGTTTGTTCTAGTTGTTATATGAATACGGTTTAAATTTTAACAAATAAGAAGATGAAGTTGTGTTTTATGTTTTCTACTTGTCTGGTTGCAGCATTAGCTGGTATTTTCGAGTTTTAATCACTCATTTTCATTTATTATTTCTAATTTGTTCAAAATGTAAATTGATTTTCTTGCATTTCAGCGCCACAATTTGGAGATGAGTGAGTAATCGCGGTTCAATTTGTATTCATTTCAACATTTTCAATTTTCTTTCTGAATTCATACAGTCCAATTATGGATTTCTCGTCTACTGAAGATACGAGCCTCAATCGTAGTTCCGACGATGGAGGTGAAGATTCAGAAAATCTCGAAAAATTGCATTATTTCAATGCCACCAAAAAAGGCAATTTGAAGGTCGTAAAAGAGCTTGTCGATCATGGACTTGATGTCAATATCAAAGATCCATTTCAACGAACGGGTCTACATCATGCTGCTGACAAGGGTACCGTGTAAAATTATGAGTTACACTTAAATAGAAAATTTGAAAGAGAATTCTTTGTTCAGGCTATGAAGAGATTGCACAATTTTTGGTTGATCATGATGCCGAGCTCGATTTCGTAGATTTCATTGGAATGACGCCCATCCATTATGCAGCGGAAAATGGTTAAACAATTTTCAATAAGCAAATTTTCGTAGTTGAATTCAATCACCTGATGAAAACACTTTGTTAACAGGACACGAAAAGATCGTGGAATTGTTGTGCAATCACGATGCAGTAACGAACATTACGGACTCCTTCGGAGAAACTCCCTTCCATTATGCTGCCATAAAAGGTAAAAAATTTAATTGTTTCTAACTATCGAACTGTTTTTGCTGTTTTCGTTCAGGTTTTGTGGAGATATCGAAAATATTGGTCAATCATGGTGCAGATGTTGATATTAAAAATGATTTGCAATCGACGCCACTCCATCACGCAGCTACAAATGGTACTTCAGAATATTTTCCATAAAATTGATCAGTCAAAACAATTCGTTTCTGTTAAAAGGTCATGAGAGCTTGATTGAATTGTTGATTAACTACGGCGCTGATGTGAACGCCTCAGATTTCTTCGGACGAACTCCTCTTTATCTTGCTGCCCGGGAAGGTAAATTAAGAAAGAACATGCAATTTGGAAGCATTGAATGCACAATTTTCGCTTCATTTGTTCAATAGGTCGCCTTAAGGTTATGGAATTATTGTTTAAAAATGGCGCAAATCCCAATTTAAAAGATAACGATGACCAAACTCCACTTTTCAATGCAGCTGCCTCAGGTATTTCGATGCGCTAAGTTAATATATTTCATAAAATTTTAAATCAAGTCAAATCGACGTAGGACGTACAAAAGTGGCAGATCTTCTCATCTTAAATGGCATCGATGCGAGTCTGAAGAATAAGAAAGGAAAAACTGCTCTTGATGTGGCTAAAGATGGAGGTAAGATTTAAAGGTATATAGAATGAATGCTGAACAATTTTTCAAATTAATTTTCTTTTCAGGACAAGGAGAAGTTGTTGCATTACTTCAAAAGGCTTGAAAAACCAATAAATTTATACTGAATTGAGTGAAACGATTGAAATGTTTTCAAATCATTTTTTCCCCCTGTTTTATGCAATCTAAAATGTATTAAATAATTCGAATGGAATTTCACAAATTGTATTTAATTTTGTTTTTTCATTGAATTTATATTATTGGAAGTGGTAAAAAAAAGTTTTATTTGAATAAAAAAATTGGGATCGCATTTTGACTAAGCGTAAAAATTGAATGAACAGAGAGACGGAACTAATCAATGCAAATAAGTAAAAATAAAGATGTCATTGGGAAATAAAGAAGTCTAACAAAGATTTGAAAAGAAAAACGATTCTTCACCTAACTTAAGCGAATTCACTAAATAATTGCGGGTGTTCCATGATTGTCCGCATGTATGGCTGTTGGTTGGTGATGTTAGTGGCTAAATCGGATGATTCACGAGGAAGACATCAACATGTTGATTTGTGCGTATTTGTATGATTGTATTATGTTCGAAACGTTACACTAATGCGATGTGTTGTACTAATGCGATTATCGAATCGTATTTCTGAAAATAGTTTTCATGTAAAACTTGAAATAATATTGATTGTAAAGTAACAAAGTGTGAAAGTCTAAACCTGCAACTCTTTGTTTAATAATAACCTAATGCCTTACCAGCTGCTTTGAAGTAAACATTAAAAATTCAATGCCAAATAATTTCTGAGGCAGTTAACTATTCGGCTCATCTTACAAAAAAAAATTTCATTTATGTCGTTAGCAGTTGAGGCATGAAAGTTGGCGATTAATGTAATTAAATGAAGAAGAAATTGAATAAAAAATTGAAGAAAGTAGCAATTCTGAGCAATTCACCCCACTCGCTTTGAGAATTATCTGCCGAAGTAGACATGATCAAAATGTTGGACGTCATAGTGAACTCGCTCATAAGCTTAATGTCGCATCAGAAAATACTTGCATGAACATTTGATTTCGTTTCTTTGTTTCTGAATGTTTTTGATGGAGTGAACGCAGAATAAAATCATGGAGTGTTGATAAATATTGTTGAACAGAAATTCATAAAAATAGAATGTGCAAATAAAAGAAAACAATTGATATCGGTCAATCGTAAAGTGTACGCTGTACGTACACAAGATGCAACTGATCAAAATATCACACATCTTGGTATTGACTGACCGTGTGCCACCTTTTGACTCTTTGAATATATGTTTATTTTATTTCTTCCAAATATTTACAAGTGAACATAACAATAGAAATAAATTGACAAATGATGGTTCAAATAAAGAATTCTTTCAGAATTCAGCACAAGCAAATGGCAAATGCAATATTTTCCAAATGATCAAATAGAAGAAATCGGTTACAATTTGAGGTTATTTGCTTTAAATCAAACTGAGATATTTATTTCGATATAAAAGAGCATCGGCAAGAGCGTATCATCATTCGACTTTCACTTTCTTAAGACAGCAAATTGAATCATCCAATATGTTGTCAAAGGGGGTGGTATTTCTGTTTGTGACTTCATTTGTGGTGAGTTGAAAATACTTGAATCGAAATATTGAATCCTCTTATAATCTGAACGTTTATTCTCTCCCAGCTCACGTATTGTGAGCCGAAAGCCGAAGCTAAACCGGAGCCGGACGCAAAAGCGTTAGCATTGGCTGAAGCTGAGGCGGATGCGGAACCACAGCCATATGCTATCGCCGATCCGTTCGCATATGCGAGAAGTTCAAGGTCCAGAAGTGGAAATAGCAATGGTATTTTTCTTTCTAGTTA